AAGTTATAATCCTTCACAACCACAATGTACACAACGTACACAATCTTCATAGTCTAAAAACTTAATGAGTATCATGTAAATTTTATCTGGTAACAAACCTAAATCGGGACTTAACAATTTATGATGTGATTTATGCTTGTGAAGTTTGGTTATTCCGAGAGAGAAAAGAACTATACAGCGTGCATTGCAAAAAAAAGTTTCTACGTTCCTTCAAATTGAAAATTAAAAAAAAAGTAAAAAAAAAAAAAAAACTTAAATATTTTTTTCGTTTATAGATTTTGCTTAACCCATCCTCAAGCACCTATCTGTTGGATTTAATCGGTTGTTTAAGGGTAATTTGATCCATAATTTTCTTTATGCAGAATTTGAATAAGGAAATGTGGGATAAGTTTAATTAACTGATTTTTAATGGGCATTGTAACAGCCCGGATCCCCAAGTATCTTTACTTCCATTTTTTTTGGTATTCTGTGAGGGGACTCGGCGAGTTGGAGGTCGAACTCGCCGAGTCGGGTCGCGGTTTTGGACGGAGGTTCGCGTTCGGACTTGGCGAGTCCAAGGGATGGACTCAGCGAGTCCGCGCTGTTTAGTGAAACCCTAATTTCCCGGTCCTAAGTCCTATTTAAAGGACCTTATAGCCTTCATTTGCGGCCACCTTGAGCCCTGAGTGCACCCAAACGGCTTAGAGACCTGGTGAGTGAGTTAGAGGCCATTTGTTCATCATTTTGTGTGATTTCTTTCAAGAAGGAAGGAGAAGATCAAGCTTGAAGAGTTGGGGAACTTGGATCTGCTTCTATTTCGTCAAGGGAACCTTCTTGAGGTAACTTTCAGAGCTAAACTTCGTATTTTGGTTGATGTGTCAAATTTAGGGTTTCTTCTTGCCTTATTTGGCTTGATTTGGAAGTATGAAAGGTCCCATGGAGGTATGGAACCTAGATCTGGACCTTAGCAGGTCCAGAAGGCCCCAAATGACAAGCTTTATGTCCATTCTTTTGAGTTGGAAGCTAGGGTTGCCATATTAGAGGTTATTTCTCCAAAATGAGCCTTGTATGCGTTGCATGGCGACCAAGACTGAGACTTTACGTGACAAATGAGCTTGGGAAGGCCAAATCTATGTGTGTATGGAACGGATCTGACCGCAAAAGCCGGTTTTAGCTAATGCATGGCATGGACTCGCCGAGTCTGAAGAACAGACTCGACGAGTCGCTTGAAGATTGTCCTTGTGACCACCCAATGTGTAGTCCTGCCGAGTTATGGGTGACTCAGTGAGTCACGGAGAGTTAGAAAGGTTTTGACAGGTGGACCGAGTCGAGTTGGGACTCGCCGAGTTGTCCTTGCGACTCGGCGAGTTGAGTCGCGGTGGCCCCGTGATTCATGCCCAGGTGGAACTCGTCGAGTCAGGGAAGTACTCGACGAGTCAAAGGGAAAATCCTTGCGAGTTGGAGAAAACGCGTAGACTCGCCGAGTCTCTATAGTGCACTCGCCGAGTCCGATCAATTTGACCAAAGTCTGTTGACCAAGTCGACCAGTGTTGACTTGAGAAGAATGGTCAACCTAGTGGTACAAGTAATAACTATAGATTCGTGATGTCATAGGAGGATTACAGCTCGGGGGTTCGAGCACGAGTGATTTCCAGGGTTCACAAATTAGCGAGACATACGAGGTGAGTCTTCTCACTATACTGTACCCGGAAGAGTTTGACTGTGTGACCGGAAGGTCGAATATGATGTGTGATATATTCCTTATGTGTAATAAGTTATTCGTTATATGTGCCATGTATGATATGTTTGATTTGGGCCGGAAGGCAACATGTTATGGGCCGGAAGGCGTGGTCATATGGACCGTAAGGTTGACGTGGGTAGGACCGGAAGGTTTACCCAGTCGGGATGGAAGTCCCCTGAGACACATGGACCGGAAGGTCAGGGCCTGGAAAGGCGTATGAGCATAGGTTGTATTCTGGGGAACTCACTAAGCATTTATGCTTACAGTTGTTGTGTTATGTGTTTCAGGTACTAGCGAGGACCGTGGGAAGGCGCCGGCGTGATCGTACACATTGTCGGAGAAAAACTATTTTATGATCATTGGGATGTATTTTATTATGATAACATTGTTCATGTTTGGATTTGGAATATTAATCGATGGTTTTTGATGTTTACAAAAATGAAAATTTTATTTTAAAATTTACGCTGTTACAGGCATGTTGGGTATAAAAATATGGGTCAATCCTTGTACCGGTTCTTTAGGTGGTAGTGGGTTAGTAGATAGCATTTTATTCCTTTTCTTATGTTGCCACGTTTGTTTTATCTGTTGCTAGTTTGTAAGCCTATATAAGGCACATCTTTGATTTAATTAAAATACCAAGAAAAGCACCTTCAGTGCATAACGCAAGTTCTGAGTGTGTGTAATTGTGTGTGTTTTCTGAGGGGCCTGAACCAACAATTGGTATCAGAGCTTAGGGCTCGTGAAGAGGAAGAAGGCCATTTTGAGAGTCGAATTCCGAAGGGGAAGAGCCTTCGGGTGCAGAGCTGCCATCACAGCAAAAGCCGGGTGTTTGGCAATGGTATCTTGGAGGTTCGATCCCGGAGATGACAGCAGATGGTTGTTAAGGATGCTTTCTCAATAGAGGCGTGAATAGGGTCAAGACTGCATAAGTGCAGTGTCCATCCTTGATCAGAAATGTTCCGGGTTAAAGAGAGCCTGACCAGAAGCGGGGAAGAGAAGCGGAAAGAAATCAGAACATGTGGGTTTTGATTTGGCTTGCTCACAGTAGGTAAAAGAAAACAGAAGAAGCAGGAGCTTGGTTTTCTTGACTGTTGGAAGACGACTCTCCATAGGAACGGGTTAGATCGGAAAAGGTTAGGACTATCACATACAAGACAAAGTGATGATTCCGGCGGTAGGTTTTGGATATGTCACTGGAAAATGGAGAGAGTTACCGAAGTTGCAGGAGAAAACGAAAAGAAAAGATCCGTCAAAGCAGGTGGCTTTGGGTTTGTTTCGTTTTGCAGGTGAAAGAAGATGGGAAAAGCGGGTTGCTTTGTTTTCTTGATCGGTGGAAGACAGCTCTCGTTTCACAGAATTGTTAGGTGGAAACGGATTCTGTGTGGTGACAAACAACAGCCGGGTTTGGAAAACTTTGGACGTGACCGAGGTGAAGGTCGCGTATCCGGAAAAGGTCAGGAATTGGTGATGACTTTGGATATGACTGAGGTGGAGGTTGGGTGTCCGGAAAAGGTCAACAATCAAGATAACAAATGGTGTGAACAACCGATTAAGGGGGTGATTGTTGGATTTAATCGGTTATTTAAGGTTAATTTGATCCATAATTTTCTTTATGCAGAATTTGAATAAGGAAATATGGGATAAGTTTAATTAACTGATTTTTAATGGGCATGTTGGGTATAAAAATATGGGTCAATCCTTGTACCGGTTCTTTAGGTGGTAGTGGGTTAGTAGATAGCATTTTATTCCTTGTTTTATGTTGCCACGTTTGTTTTATATGTTGCTAGTTTGTAAGCCTATATAAGGCACATCTTTGATTTAATTAAAATACCAAGAAAAGTACCTTCAGTGCATAACGTAAGTTTTGAGTGTGTGTAATTGTGTGTGTTTTCTGAGGGGCCTGAACCAACACTATCCACATTTATTGGTAGAAGAACGACAAATCGAAGCTGAAGCATTAATGAAGAACCATATCCAGATATATTTTGTCTGTTTTCTTTCTATATATCACATTCCAATCCAGTTTAGTATAATTTTATCTTTTGAACATGTTTGTGATTCTACATGCACATATCATATTTGATGAAATGCCTCCATGATATTTTTCTTTTGAATTTCAAAATAGAAATTTAATATATTAAAAATAGCATATAAGTACATAATTTGTTTTTGTCTTTTGTGATGATGTTGTGTAAAAGAAATATAGGAGATGAGATAAATTGTATAACTTTCTACGCATTATAATACTCGATCCATCACTATGTAAAGATGCACCAATGGACGCATGTTAAGTAATTTTAAAATTAGGTTAAAACTCAATGCAAAAAATACGTAATACACAGATAAGTTGATCACCAAAATTTTTTTAATATTATTTTTTTGTGCTGTGTGTGGTGCCAATGAACAAGAGTTTGCAAAACGATTTCATTTGAGTTTAAAATCAAGAGTAAATTACATGAATGGTCCCTATGGTTTGGAGTAATTTACGCGTTTGATCCCTAACTTATTTTTCAACTCGAAAGGTCCATACTATTTGTTTTTGTTATACACTTGGTCCTTACTATTTGTTTTTTGTTATGCGTTTGGTCCCTGTCTTACCTAAAAAAGACTATTATTTAAATAGGAAAAAATAGTAGAGTAGGTAAGGTAAGGTGAGGGGTGGGGATGAGGTGTGTTTATTAAAACAAGATTAGTATTCAACTCAAAACTGGAACATATTCCTTGTTTATTGGAGAGGTGGTACTAAAGTTATAGAGAAATTAAGGAAAAGAGTCATGCTTTTGTGTGTTACAATTGTGTTTATTCATTACGTATTAAACTAAAAAAAAACAAAACAAAAAATGAAACCGAATTTAAAATAATAAAAACTTTGAGAAAAAGATGTCCAATCATTACATTATTATATTTATTTTTTACCAACCGATGTTTAAAGCATTCATAAAATACATATTAAATTATGTAATTGCTTGATATAAAGTGATTACAATACAAGCAAATTAAATTACTATGAGAGAACACTTTCTACAAAACTTCATTGATTTCTTCTCTTGAAAAAGGAAAAGTGAAAAACAAAAAAGCAAAAAGATAAACTAATGTAAACAATAGAAAAAGGAAGCATGTTTGGTGTTTGTAAATTTGCTACAAATATACATCTTCGTCATAAATAAGATTAAGAGACTAACATTGTCATCTCAAAGAGAGAAATATAATTATAATGGAGGTAGTACTTGAAGTATATGAACACAAGCACCCACTAAAGCTCATTGATTTGCAGCAACAAATGCAAGAAGAAGAAGAAGAAGAAGATATCGATGAGGGTGGTGATCCGATTATAAGAGAGATGTTTCAAGGTGTCACATGTGAGAGGTATATGGAAGAAATCCATATGTACCATAGGTACTACTACACTTGCACCATATGTGATGATTTCTCACTTCACAAATTATCTGGTGAGCTCCCCTCAAGGTTAGAGCACCCATCACACCCATCACATACTCTTTACCAAACATATCATTCATATCATCGGATATGCAGTAATTGTAAGAGAGATCAAAAGCTTGGAGAATTGTTTTACCAATGTGGTAAATGTGATTTCTCCATTGATCTCAAATGTGCTGTGGAAGTAGGAAAAATGTGATCCATCATCCTTGCCACCCTCACTTGCTAATGTGTGCTATCCCAAAGCCCATTTTTATGTGAGTGTAGTGCGTGTGGGAAGGAACATAAAGGCATCTTCTATCAATGTACCACTTGTATTGGCTTCACCATACATAATGATTGTGCTTTCATACCAGAAAAGTTGCTCATCCAAGAGGGGAACAGTTGGTGCTTTTTATCATACTCATCCACTCACCATTTCATATTTTTTTCTCAAGAAAAGATCAAATGGATAAATATTTTCCTAGATGCAGAGTATGTGGTGATAGTTTTTATGATTCGGTGGATCTTTGGATTTACAAATGTGATAAGTGCATGTACTATGCTCATGTGGATTGTGCGGCATCAAGAACAGAGCCATTCATGTCCATCTTCTTGTCTCCTTCGGGTAATTACTAATTAGTTAATAATTAATCCTTTTATATATAATTGCTTTCATTTAAATGAATAATTATGTGTGGCATTATTTGAGATCTACTAACCAACCTTGTTGTCAATTTCCAATTTTATCAGGCCTTGGCAAAACCCTTAAAAATTATAAAGATGCTGATCATCTTCATCTTCTTCATCTCCCAATCCCCGATGAAACATACAGCCTACTAAAACACTTGTTTTTCCAACAAACCGATCATCATCATAAAGTAGACGATTACCTAAAACACATGAGTCATCAACATCCTCTAACTGTAGTTGATCAAACACAATGCAATGGACAAACCTCCTCAAATATTAATTCTTGGTTATTAATGTGTCATGACCCGATGGAAAAGACCAAACTATTATGCAATGGATGTCTAAGACCAATTATGGCAACCATGCCATTTTACATGTGCGATGATAAGAGTTGCAATAACTTTGCTCTCCATGAGTGGTGCACTCAACTCCCCCAAAAAATAGAAAACCACCCAGCTCACCCACAACATACCCTTCTTGTCATCTACTCAAATGTTCTTCCCTTCTTTTTTGGTGTGTTTGAATGTGGTATATGTTATTTGCCTTGCAATGGATTCGCCTATTGTTGTGTAAAATGTGGATACTATGTTTATGTTACATGTGGGTTTTTACCTAAAGAAATCACACATAAATCTCACCCAACCACCTTCTTTCATTAGTTCAAAAACATAGTTCTTGTTATGTGTATCAGAGATTTCATCATTTTAAACAGTATGGCTTGCAAGGTATTTTTTACGAAAAAACACTTTTTTTCGATTGTAACATTCGTGATATTTATAAACATCTGGAATGTGCTTTGTTATTAGCTGAGACAATCAGACATAAGAATGACAAGAACCATCCCATGAAGCTAAGTTACCTCCCTATTGAGAACCACAAGAGTAAATATTTTTGTGAAATTTGTGAGAACCCTTTGAACCCTCATGAATCTTTCTATCATTGTCACCCCCTTTGAGATAAGCGTTTTTTATTTTGTAAATATACAGTCCGGAGGCATTCATAAGAGTGTTGGTCATGTGCATCCTTTATCCTTAACTCAATGTATTATGTCAGATACAAAATGTAGCATTTGTTTTGAGGAATTATTCTGCAAGATGATCTTTAAATGTCTCGAGTGTAAGTTTGCAATTCATTACACATGTTGTGAGCTTTTGAACAAGATATGAAGTTTCTGGTTTCTCTACCACATGAATGCTTGAAAACACAGTATGGTGTGTGATTGTTCGTTAGTCTTTCTTTCTTTCTTGTATTAATTTCTCCCTCTTTTATGTGTAAAGATGATAAATTAAATAAATTGAAATTCCCATGTGCATGTTAACTTTTGCAATCCTTTTGTTCTATCCCTACATTTATATTTATAACTATGGAACTAGATATATAACTGATCATATATTATTCAATAATTAATTTGCTCCAGGTTGTTATTTTTTAAATGGAAATTAAATAAATTTAAAAATTAGATTACGTGTTGCATGATCTAATCTCTTGATGTTTTTCCTAAATTTTGACCCTCCTTTTATCTTTTATCATATATTGGTTGATTAAGTTTTAGTTCCAGTATCATCTTGGACATACTTCTATATATACTCCTTCCATTCTGTTTTAATGCATGAAATGTTCTCTCTCTCTCTCTCTCTCTCTCTCTCTCTTTATATATATATATATATATATATATATATATATATATATATATATATATATATATATATATATATATATATATATGCAAGTCAATAACTTTGTTTAATATCATCAAATAAACTTAAATTTTGATGTCAATAAATTGGTTGATACCGAAGGTAACTTTTCAGTTATGAGATCTCATAAAGTAGTTCATAGAGATAGGTTATCCATCCTGATAACTATGACCCGTTTGCTATGCATGTGTTATTTTAATAATTTTTATATATTTTCTATAAAAATCAAATTTTTACCGGTTTGTATTATAAGTATATAGTACTTACCTTCACACTGTAGATTCTTTTATCATGACAAATATCTACTTGATATTTGTAGTAAGTTGTTAATGCTATGTCCATATATAGATGGTAATTCCATATCAATATATGCCTGCCTGCCTATTTTGTATTGTTCTAATCAGCCTGAATGAATATGATCTTGTAGATTGACAGTCACTTCCATAGAAAATTATTTTTGTTTGAAGCTAAATTTTGTAACTAATTACACGATTGCAATACAAAAACAATTTTATTTGTATTTTGATTGATTCAACTTCATATATATTTGTTTATGAGTCAAAGGAAAACAATCCCATCTAATATCTTTCAATAGGAAACTCCACCAAGATTTTGGGATGTTTTAAACTCGATTAAATCATATGGATCAACTCTAACCTCTATACCAATTAATAAATCAAGATTAATATTCAACTTAAAACTGGGACTTATTCCTTGCTTATTAGAGGAGTGGTACTAAAGTTAAAGAGAAAGCAAAAGAGTTATGTTTTTGTGTGTTTTAGTTATGTTTATTCTTTACATATTAAACTAAAAGAAAGAACAAAACATGAAACCAAATCTAGAATAATGAATACTTTGAAAAATCCCCACATTACAATTATGTATTTATTTTTTACTAACCGATGTATAAAGCATTCCTAAAATGCATCGTAAATTATGTCATTGCTTGATATAAAGTCATTACCAACAATTCCATATTATAAGGGACAAATAAATTAATTAAAGCAAATTAAATTACTATGAGAAAATACTTTCTACAAAGCTTCACTGATTTCTTCTCTAGAAAAAGGAAAAGTTAATAACCAAAAAAAAAGCAAAATGTAAACGATGGAAAAAAGAAACATGCTAGGTGATTAGTAATTTACCACAAATATGTACTCTTTCTTCATTATAAATAAGAGAGTGAGTGTAACATCATCATTGTAAAGAGAGAATTAGAATCATAATGGATGTAGTTGAAGTATCAGAACACAAGCATCCACTAAAGCTCGTTGATTTGCAGCTACAATATGAAGATGAAGAGGATGAATAAGAAAAAGAAGAAGAAGAAGAAGAGGGTGGTGATCCAATTATGAAAGAGGGTTTTCTAGGTGCATGTGAGAGATGTGGTGAAGAAATCAATAGGTATCATAGGTACTACTACAAATGTATTATGGCTATGGAAGGTTCTTCATCATGTGATGATTTCTCACTTCACAAATTCTGTGCTGAGCTCCCTAAAAGGTTAGAGCACCCATCACACCCAAACCATACTCTTGGCCTGGTATCATCTTCATATTCATTTTCATATTCACACTCAGTTTTTTATTCATATTCTGATCCTATATGTATGATTTGTAAGAGACCTCACAAGCCTGGAGAACGTTTTTACAAATGTTATATATGTGATTTCTCCATTGATGTGAAGTGTGATGTGCAAATAGGAAAAAATGTCATTCATCATCCTTGTCACCCTCATTTCATGACTTGTGTAATCCCTAAACCCATTTTATGCGATTGTAGTGCCTATGGGAAAAGACATGAAGGGATATACTATCAATGTACTACTTCATGTAATGGTTTCAGTGTACACAGTGAATGTGCTTTCATACCAAAAAGTTTGCTAATCCAACAAACCACAGATGATGCTTTTCATCATACTCATCTACTCACCATTTTCATATTCATTCACCTTTATAGATCAAACATTTAAATATTTTCATAAACGTAGAGTTTGTGATCGGCCTTTTTATGATACTCACGATATGGAGAATCTTTGGATATACAAATGCGATAAATGTATGTACTATGTCCATTTGGATTGTGCAGCATCAAGAAGAGAGTCATTCATGTCCATCTTCTTGTCTGCAGGTAAATAAATCCTTTTATCGATTGGTTTCATTTGAATGGATTATTGTGTGGCTTTATTTGATACATACACACACACTAACCAATCTTGTTATTCTGTTTCGAATTTATTATCAGGCCTTGGAAAAACCATTAAAAATTATGAAGATATTGACCATCCTAGTCTTGTCCATCTTGTATTCCCTGATGAATCTTACACCTTGCCAAAACACTTGTTTTTCCAACAAAGTAGTGATCAGAAACATCATACAGTAGATTACCTAAAACACATGAGTCATCAACACCCTTTGATTTTGGTTGATCAGACGCAAAGAAACTCCTCAAAGATTAAGGATTCTTTGTTATTGATGTGTCATAACCCAATGAAAAAGACCCAACTGCTATGCAATTGATGTCTAAAACCAATTATGGCAACATGTCATTTTACAAGTGCAATGATCAGAGTTGCAAGTTTGTTCTCCATGAGTGGTGCACTTAACTACCCACAAAATAGAAAACCACCCAGCCATCCACAACATACTCTGCTTCTCATGTACTTAAATGCCCTTCCTTTATTTTTCGGTGTGTTCGATTGTGCTGTTTGTTATCTGCCTTGCAACGGATTTGCGTATTGTTGTGTAGAATGTGGATATTATGTTGATGTTACATGTGGGTTTATACCTACAGAAATCACATATAAATCTCACCTGAATCATCTTCTTTCAATAGTTCAAAAATATGGTTCTTGTCATTTGTGTCGGAGAGCTCATAAACAGTATGCCTGCCGGAGCCTTTTTAACAAAAAAAACACTTTTTTTGGTTGCAAAGTTTGTGATATCTATATACATCCAGAATGTGCTTTGTTATTAGCCAAGACAATTACGCACAAGTATGACAAGAAGCATCCCATGAAGCTAAGTTACTTCCCTATTGAAAACCATAAGAGTGAATATTTTTGTGAAATTTGTGAGCATTATTTGAACCCTCATCAAGCTTTTTATCATTGTCAAGAATGTATTCAATCTATACATAGTTGTTGTGCTCCATTAATACCTCAGTGGGAGATAGATGCCACCCCCTTCGAGAGAAGCGTTTATTTTTTCATGAAAATAAAGTTTGGGGGCATTCATCATAATGATGGTCATCCGCATCCTCTCTCCTTTTCTCCAGGTATCAAGTTGAATGATCTATGTAGCATATGTTTTGAACAATTATTCTGCAAGATGATCTTTAAATGTCTTGAGTGTAAGTTTGCAGTTGATTACACGTGTTGTGAGCGTTTGAACAATATATGAAGGTTTTGGTTTCTCTACCACATACATGCTTGAAAACACAATATGGTGTGTAATTGTCATTGCTCTTTCTTATATATCTCCCTCTTTTATGTGTAAGATGATACATTTCATAAATTGGAATTCCCTTGTGCATGTTAAATTTCGCAATCCTTTTGTTCATCCCTGAATAATCTATTTCTAGTTATGAAGTAGTTAACTGTTCATATTCTTTCGTACTTTGTTTCGGGTGGTTGCTTTTTTTTAAATGAAAATCAAATAAACTTGAAAATTAGATTACATGTTGCATGATATAAGTTAATGCATGCTAATCAAATTTTCTTATAAGTTACCAAATAACAACGACCAAGTATGGAAGTATCCTGCTGATGACAGAAGAAACCATATCAAACTTGAGAAAAAAAGGCACTAGAATGTTTGAACTTGTTCTACCATTCAGACAATACTAATTCTTTTAGAAAGATTTTGGAACCAAACTTTATGTGGTTTATAGGAAGTGAATGCTTTGCATAGAACTGAAATCAAGTATAGAGCTTATAGCGATAAGATAAATAGATACCACTTTTCCCAAATAATAATCAAAATACTCTTAATATCAACAAAGACAAAAAAGGAAACATTAAACATATAACAATAGCAACAAAGTTGATGCCTTATTTGCAATCTACAAAGAGATACTCATGATGGTGCCATGTGAATTTTGAAAAATTAAAAGAGCATAGAGATATTCACATCGAAAGACATTTATCAAAACATGAAACTTGCTCCAAATCATAGTTTATATCAATATCAAATATTTAAGAAGCCAAATCACTGTTTAAACACATTTTTCCAACTAAAGCTTTTTGGGCTTATAAGCCACTTAACTTATTATTTTATACTTATTATTTTTCCAACTAAATTTTTTGATGGTGATTCCGATTACGGAGCAAATTGGGTATGGGAATTGGGGGTTACGAGGAAAAATGAATTGGGAAATGTTATTTCTACGAGGGAGTTGGGTGCTCCAACCACAATAGCATGGTGAATGATATTTGCATTTTTATTCATCATTTTTATAATTTATTTGGCACATATTTCTTTACTTTTTGTTGCTTTCTCATGCATTTTTATGTAGGGAAAAATGCAGAAAAGCCCAATTAATTATACATGTATATGCAGAAAAACCCTTATATTATTTTTATATTCAGAAAAAACCCTTATATTATTATTTATATTTCAAATAAAACCAAATTGTAGATTTTTAAGAGAAACGATCAGCTAAAAATATGATATGATATACATATCCCTTATACTTCTTTGATTATATGCAAAAACATATCAAACCGAAATATATTTCGATTATTTTCATTCGATTGTATTCTCTATATGGTTGATTTTTTTCTTTCTTAACTAATTGTTTTTATCCCAATAAACACAAATGTAAGCGACATTAGATTTTTAGTTGTCAATTTCTCTTAAAACCTTGTATTTTGGGCTTTTTCGAATGGTAACTATTAATATAAGGGTTTTTCTGAATATAAAAATAATATAAGGGTTTTTCTGCATATACATGTATAATTGGTTGGACTTTTCTGCATTTTTCCCTTTTATGTATTAATTACTTTTATGGCTTTCAGGGAACTTTCTAGTGTTTATGTGATTAATTGTGGAAATTGTGAAGTCGGGTGCGAAACAAGTGATCTCGAGATGTGTCGAAAGATGATTTTGAAGTTTAATGAAGATATGAATTTGTGGATTTCTTTTGGGTTGAGAAAAGTGGGCTTTTGAGATTGAAAGATTGGTTAATTGGTCAAAGTTGGTCAAAGTCACAGCAAGAAAGGGAGTGTAGGACAGGCAAAAGTCAAAAAACTCAAAGTTAAAGTTGAAAGTCAACCTTGTGCGGGCCGTGCAAGGTCATTGCAAACTCTACGCGGGCAATAGAAGCTAAGCAGATTCCCCAACTTTGTTATGTGCGGTCATGGTATCTATGTGCCCAGTCAGCACAACTCATGAGCAATTTCGTCATTTTGCCTGAAAAACTACTAGAAAAAGATATCGATGTTAAATCGAATATCTAAGCATCTTAGAAACTCCTTACCTGTTACATTCTAGGAATAGATGATGTTCTTATCGATCCCCAAAAATGTCACGTAACATCTCCATGATTACTCCTTTCTTTATTAAGGCATATATGTCTCAAGACTCACATTAATCTAATACATCATCCATCATGAATTCTCTCTTTAAGTCAGCACACTCACATAACATGGCACCAACCACCTCCTTGAACATTGATCAAACATCGAATCATTTTCAATACTGACTTCCGAGACATATCTTGAATTTGAGGGTCTTAGCACTACTCTTCGTGAACCCATTGTTGGTGATTTTGGTGTTATCAACATATTTTGGCGTAATTAATATTATTTTTGAGATAGGTTAAGTTCTATTTCTTTACTGAGGTTGAAGGTAAAGAGTGCATACTCGGAATGATAAATGCGAGCTGAGGAATAACCATATTTCTAACCACATTTTTGACGCCAAAATATATTCAACCACCGTTTAACTACTTTTCTTCCCTTGATAAGAGCATAGTGAATGTTCCATAAAAGGGTTGGATTTTCTCATACTCGAAATTGACCATGTGATTCTCTATATCTTTCAAAACGCAAAATTGCAAGGTACTTTCTGTGTTTCAAATTTGGAAGTTGCCTGACTTCTAAATTATCATTCTTGGATTATCCCAAATCAAATTTCATGACACCCCAGATAAAAGGGTCGAAATTACAGATTTTGGAAAATGATTGCAATCACGAATCATGAATTATCAAAGTTTGTATTGATATTATTAGACCCAAAATCTAACACCCACTTTGGCAACAAGCTACAAAGGACAAGATTTAGGAAACAACCAAACATAGGACATTGTTCCACTTCCACCACAATAGTCTATCATTTGTTTTAAGCGGGTCTACAAAAATTAGGTTGCAATTTAGATGGTATAGTTGATTGATATAAAGCATGCCTCGTTGCAAACAACTTCCATCAAGAGTATAGGATCGACTACAATGAGACATGATCTTGTTACATGAGTTACCTTTGTTTGCAGTGTGATTATGGGTTGTTTACTCGTACCATATGCTTCTATGTGATTGGAAAGACTGTTCATTTTGTCCCGATCTCTACCACATATCAATTGGTTGATATCTTAACCAAAGCAAATATGTGGTGCCATTTTTTCTGTTTCCATTGGGGGTGGATTAGCACATATGTTACGTACTTATTGTATATGGAGTATGGACTATATATGTACATTTTTTTGTATTTAACTATTTTTCCTAATTATCTATCATACTGTAATCAACCGTCTTCTTCAATAGATTCTGTCTTCAGCTCTAATCTAAAACTCCAATTCATGAACCCTAACAAAAGTAGTGACAAATAAGTTCTGGAATTACATTATATTACAAGCCGTAAGAATAAATGGCCATCTTTGATAAAGCTTAAGCATTTATCATGTCATATATATTTTACACACACAAAGGACCAAGAGCAGAAAAAAAAAACTTGGCTATACAACTGAAGCATAAGTTCAGAACAACTTCTAACCTTTGTTTGGGGGGGGGGGGGGGGGGGGGGGTCATTATTGCCCCTCTTCGAGGGCATGTTCTTGCAGCAGAGGGCTGGTTTGGGCAGATGATGATGCTTCATTGTAATGAACACCACCATCTTCTTTAGCTTTTCCCCATAGAACAGCATAGAACCCTAATGATATAATTATGCCTCCAACAACACTGCACCAAAATTTGAGTTCAATTTTGACACTGAGGAATGATATTTCATTAAAAAAGAAGAAGAAGTTGGAATGACCTTCCGAGATGGAGTGAATCACCAAGGAATATGACACCCATAGCAACTGCAATCACAATCGACAAAGGCTTGAACATGGCTACATACACAGGTCCTTTCAATCTCAAAGCCCATACTTGAATCAAACCACTTAAAAATCCAGTAGAGATCCCCTATAAACAACAGAATCCCAACTTTCACAAGGACAGAATTTTTAATGTAACAACAAAAAAGAAACTTAATTTCTTACCATGTATATTATAGAAGCCAGCATCTTATCAGGTTTTAGTTTCCAAGCATCCAAATCTCTCACCATAATCAACCCTGCAAATGCTGCTACAAGCATCCCACTTAACCCAAAGATGAAAACAACCATTAGTTCCACTGGATACTGGATCATGATTTGTGCCTACGTACAGGGTTGCTGAAAACACTCAAGTTTGCTATAAATAATAAGTATTATGCTAACATTAGAAATTACAATTTTGGTACCTGAGAAACCAAAACAAATGAAAGTAGAAAATTCTGACTTGCAAGTAAAATTCCACCAATAATCCAATATAAGCTTTTTGATGAATCAGATAATATGGTAACTGATGGGCCATTATACAGTGTTGCTACAAGTGCACCAGATATTGACAATACAGTTCCCACAATTTTTGCTTGGCTGCTATAGCTTCGCAAATTCAGTTGTTCCACCCTATACACCAAAAAGAAAAAAAAAATTGATTGACTTGATGACACAATTCTTTCATGTTTTCTGGTCATAATGTGCAGAATTAATGATTTTGGAAGAGTACCTGAAGAAGAATGCAAGAATGAAGGTGAAAGCAGGTGCCAGATTGCTCATAACTGAAGAAAGTGTTGGAGAACTGTACTTGATACCAACGTATCCAAATATCTGAGACATGTATCTGCAATTTACAGCATTTCAATCATTATATTGATGATTGAATCGATAGTGGAGAAAAACAATCAAGACATGCTGATATGAGTAACCTACAGAAGAAACCTGTAATCATAGGGATGTATGAAAGGGAAATAAAGAGATATAAGACAGCAGAAGTACATTTTGACATGAAGTACAGCAGAAATATAGATCCAATTTACCTGTACAGCTGAGGTTCCTGAGTTAAAGAATCATAGCTAACATAAGTGTGAATTTCTGTGTTTCTTTTTAGTTGTCTTATATCCTACTTGAATTGGAAATGGTACATTGTTTAATTGCAACATTTGAATTCTTTTACCAAATCCGCGCATTGCAATTCCTGGAAATTCAGGTCAATCCTTATAAAAGATTAGGGTTTCACCAATCCTTGATACTAGTATACTAGAATATTCCTCCTCCCAAGTCTCAATTAAATTGAAAGAGTCAAAATAGCAAATTCAACAAATTCTACAGATGGTAAGACTCAGATCAAGGTGGTTTACCCAATCAAGCTAAGAAGGAAAAGCTTGGCAACAATGGCGAACTTCAGCGGCGGGATACTTGATTTTCTGCACAAATTGAAACAAGAAATTCAATTCGAACTAGAGGTTCCTGCATAATAGGGAATTAACGAACTATATTAATTAAAATTGCCTGCGGACGATGAATGGACAAGGCAACAGGAAAAGGAAGCCGACAAGGAAGACATAAGTGGTGAAAACGTATGAATTTATTTCTTGAGAAGTTGCCGATTTAAATAATGTGTTTCCGCCTACAATAATGCATTCGATCAGCATCATTGCTGAAAATGGCAATACATCATTGTAACAAGTTCTACTCATCTCTGATCTCTTTGTTTCCTCCTCGATCTCTGCGACTGGAAATGGGAGATTTGGAAGGATTATCTAGATGTTAAGAGAAAAACTTCACCAAACTCCTTCTATGACCTATCCGATGATCCAGAGTTGACTGAAGTGTTACCGGTGAAATTGAATTATCCAGGAAGATGCGGGTTACAACGGCTAGACCATACGACTCGTTTCTTCTGTACTTATCATGCGGAGTAATTCATTGACTCATGGGGCTGCTAAATATTTTTAATTTAAATAGAGAAGCCTGAAATACAAAACCCAACATATTATTTTTTATCTTTAGAAAATAATTATACTATTTAGGAAATAATTATATTACTTTTATATCTGTTAAAACAGTTATATATTTTTATTTGGTTAAAATTAATGTTTCATTATCGAATAAACATGAGAGATATATTTTTCAAAACTAGCTATAATGCTGGAGTTGTTGACTGAAAGTTGTAGTAGAAATGTTTAAAAAAAATTAGATGTTACCTTATGAAGTAGTTTCTAAAAGGTCCGAAAAGCTATTTAAAGTATTTTATGAATTCAAAATTTTTTGTTTAAAATAAAAACTAATAAACCGAAACTTTTTTTTTTAACTAAAAATTAAAAGCTCGCATTGACTTAAATTAAAAATCTTATGTGAAATAACAATTATATCTATGTTGGTAGTGGTTTCTTGGAATATCAATTAATGTTTCTAGAATTTAATATCATGTAATATTTTTTAGTTCTATGTAGGCTTTGCAATGGATATCTATGTTCAAGCAGTTACTAAAAAAACACCTTTTTTTTGTTTTTTTTTTAATCTTTTTTAATTTGAGGCCAAGAAAGAAGTAAAATATATTTATATAATATTTCTTCTTAACAAATATCACTTATTTATAAATGATATCTTATCCAAATAGTAGTAAAAAATAAATCATGAGCTATTTTATAAGTTTCAAATGGTACGACTTGGATGTATAACAAAGATTTTCTTTGGTGTTTAGGATTTTGGGGTTTTTTTTTTCTAAATAAAAAAGTTTAAGTAACTAATTTTTTTATAACATGGAAGAATTTGTTAAGATTCAAAAGAAAAAGATATTCAAGTCAGCAAAGGGGCCTTTTAGTTTGCATGATAGTTTGAAAAGAATTATATTTGCAAAATTGGATTTAACAAAATAAAGTATATATGAATTATAATTAAGGGGGTGTTTGGCTTAGTTTTTTAAAACCAAAAATCCTTTTTGGAAAAGAAAAAAAAGCAAAAGACATTTGGCAAACTAGTTTTATAAGCTACTTTTGAAATTTTTACATAAGGAAAAACAAGTTTTTGGAAAAATCAGAAAATCCTGATTTTTTGTAACTTTTTCAAAAAGAATTTTTGGGGTTTGAAAAGCTAAGTCAAACACCCCCTAAGCATACCTTTAATTAACAAAAAAATAAAAAATAAAAAATAAAAATAAAATAAAATTAATTTCATTCTATTGCTTGGTTTACATATTGGAGATTTGGAGTCCGAGTTTCGAATTTGATCAAAACTTCGAATTCCGGTAGCCAAACAAAGAAAATAACTATTTAGTATTTACAGTTTTACACCTTTTATGAGTAAAATTATAAAAGTTTTCCGAATAGATTCAGAGATTATAGCCCATATTAATATGGCCCATTTAAGCAGGCCCACATCCTTCCGAATTACAAAATAGACAGGCGTCGATGTACGATGTTAAAACCCTGGAAACTAGGGTTTATAGTTTAGGGATTTGATGTTTCACCTATAACAACATCAATGGAGGGATTGAAGGTATCTGATGCCGAATTGGTGCTGTATTTACATCCCTCAAAGTCAAAAAATGTGTCTCAAGCCATCTTTCGTGAACTAAGTTCAATGCTTTTCAAGTAATTCTTCTTCCTTTTGATGCATCTTATCGAACTCGAGTACTTTGTTTTTCATGTCATTGTACAAAATTGGGGGGAAATAATATCGATTTATTCTATACTTAAAGAAGATTAAACCGATGCCTGTACATGCATATAAACTGAACTTTTAGGCAGCTCTGTTTGTCACAGAAAGCCATGTTTTAAATGATGATCTGAATGGATCAATGATTTTAGATGTTGTTATTATATAACACAAGTCCGTTTAAGGAAGATAGCTTCATATCATCAGTGTTTTGTTTCTCTGACTTATTGTATTGTTTTATATGGATTTGTTTTTGTAGGTTCAATGAAACATTCGATGGTGTTCTGTTGGCTTACAGTGCTTCTACTCAAAAAGAGTTAGCAAAGATTCTTCCAGGCTTGAATCCTTACTTTGGTGTGAGACTACAAGCACAACTCTTACTTTTCTATCCAAAACCAGATATGCTTTTAGGTACAATCCACTGATAGCTCTCATGATATGCAACATTGCTTATGTTTATCAAATGCTAAATTCTTATTTTGTTTCTTATATTTCTCTATAATCATTTTTACAGAAGGAAAGGTGGTGAAACTTGCAGAACAGTCTATACACATTGTTGTTCTTGGTTTCTCATCAGCAACCATTATAGAAGAAGATATTCGTGAAGAATTTAGTTACAAAGTTGTAAGTGAATGGCTACTATTGTGTTTGTAAAGATCCCCTTTTTTCTTCAACCACTTACAAATAAGTTGTGGAATTCCAAAAGTAATGCCAACAATACTTTTTCAAATTTTCTTGTTGCAGAAACATGGGAAGGAAGTATATGGTAGCAATGTTAACAAGCGCCATAAGATAGAGATTGGAACCATTCTACGTTTTGTCGTCAAGAGGTGATAAATTCTTCTTTTCTTTTTTTTTTTCAAGTTATGTTTTTTCTTCATAATCAATTGCTGTAGAAATTTATGTTTTTCATCCAACTTATGCAAAAGATAATTCAGTCAAATATATAAATGACCTGACCTTGAAAGATGATTGTAGTTTTGATGAGGAAATACTTCATATATCCGGATCATTGCTTCCAAATCACACAGGAAGTGTTAGCTGGTTGGATAAACCTGCAGAAGAGGCACATACTGAGAGGTTATTTTATTAACATGTTATAAAATGATTTTTGATTTGAATAAGCATCAAGTTTTTTTGACATTATTATTAATTACTTGGCTCCAGTAATACCAAGAAGAGGAGAGAGGTTGAAATGCAGAATGACAAAGTGTCAGAGGATTCATTTGCTGATAAGCATCGGGTGAAGAAGTCAAAGAAGAAACAACAAAGTAGCAATGACATGTGACATATTTTCATTGAATTGTTGTGATTTGTTAGCAAGTTGGTAATTCTTGAAGGGGTATATGTGACATTTGGTACAGGAGTAGTTAAATGATGAGTTGGATAAAATGCAATGCCATGTATACAAAGTTTTGTATTGTTGTAGTTGATGGTGGTTCCAGCAAAGTTGCTTATTTTCAAAATTGCCACTCAACTACACAAGTAATGTTGTTTTGTGGAATTCTGTTTAAGATATCTATTTCTTTTGAACACAAGTAAGTGCATTGTAAATGGTAATGGTGTATTAACATTCATCAAAGTCAAAAAAAAAAAAAAAAAAAAAACATTTTATCCATTTAGAAAAGAGTGGACTTGTATGACACTTATACTTGGCACTTGGTTTCAATATAACCATAAGACTTCATCATAAAGTGTGGTTTGTTTATTCCTTACTTATTGAAGAGGTGGTGTTGATGATAAAGAAAAGAAGAAGAAAAGAATTATACTTTTGTGTGTTTCAATTGTGTTTATTCTTTGAGTATGAAACTGAAAAAAAGAACAAAATGTGAAACTGTTTTTAGAATTATGAAGACCTTGAGAAAACAATGTACACAATATAATATCGTATTTTTATTTTGTTGATGTTTAAAACAATCATAAAATACATTATAAATTACGTAACTTTGTGATATAAAAAATTTAATTATCAGAAATTCCATATTAATTATAAGGAACAATAGAAAAGCTTGGTTGGTAAACTACTAAAACAAAATTAAATTCCAATTGTAACCACTTTTTACAAACTTCACCGATTGCTTCTTTAGATAAAAAGAAAAGGGATTAACAAAAAAGCAAAAGATAACCAATTTTAAATAGAAAAAAAAGCCCACTCCATTTCGTGAATTGGCCACATATATTCTTTTTCTTTGTTATAAATATGATAACATCTTTATTCATAAAGAAAGATATAATTATCATGGAGGCACTTCAAGTACTTGAACACAAGCACCCACTAAAGCTCGTTGATTTGCAGCTACAATTACAATATGAAGAAGAAGAAGAAGAAGAAGAAGAAGAAGAAGGTGAAGAAGAAGAAGATGATGATAATGATTATGATCTTGTTACGAAAGAGGGCTTTAGAGGTGCATGTGAGAGGTGTGGTGAAGAAATCAATGTATACCACAGGTACTACTACAAATGTATGGCAGATTCATCGTGTGATTTCTCACTTCACAAATTTTGTGGTGAGATCCCAACACGTTTGGAGAGCGCATTTCATCCACATCCTCTTACCATGTTTATGCTTCGTTATAATTGGTCATGCAATATTTGTGGGAGTAAGCACAAGCCAGGTGAGCTGCGTTACATTTGTTTTGAATGTGAATTTTGGATTGATGTAAACTGTGCAGTGGATATAAGAAAAAGGATCATCCATCATCCATGCCATCCACACTTGCTAACATGTGCTATCACGAAACCCGTTTTATGCGACTGTAGTGCTTGTGGGAGAAGACAAGAAGGGATGTTCTATAACTGCACCACTTGTACCAACTTCACCATACACAATGAATGTGCTTTCCTACCAGAAATATTGAAAATCCAAGAGAAAACAGATGGTGCTTTTCATCATACCCATCCCCTCACCATTTCATATTCATTCCCCAGAGAAGATCAAAAAGCTAAACATGATCCCAGATGCAGAGTATGCGGTCATTCTTTTTATGATATGGAGAATCTTTGGATTTACAAATGTGATGAATGCATGTACTATACCCATGTGGATTGCGCAACATCAAGAAGAGAGCCATTCATGTCCATCTTCTTGCCTCCTGGTAACTAATCAATCCTTAATTTCTTTTCATTATCATTCACTCATGTTACAAATTTCATGAATTAATTAATTAATTACGTGTATGTAGCTTTATTAATTTGAGATATACTCCTGATTCCATTTTTAAATTTATCAGGCGTTGGCAGAACCAGCAAAAACTATAAAGTTGGTGAGCATCCTCATCTTGTTCATCTCCCATTCCCTGATGAAACATACAGCCTACCTAAACACTTGTTTTTCCAACAAACTGATCATCATCATAAGGTAAACCTAACACACATTAGTCATAAACACCCTCTAATTCTAGTTGATCACACACTCAGCAATGGGCAAACCTCCTCCTCTTCTTGGTTATTAAAGTGTCATAACCCAATGAAAAAGACCCAACTGCTATGCAATGGATGCCTTAGACCCATCACGGCAACCATGCCATTTTACAGGTGTGCTACTGAAAATGATGATCAGATTCAGGGGGTTTGCAATAACTTTGCTCTCCATGAGTGGTGCACCCGACTCCCCCCAATAATAGAAAACCACCCCGGTCACCCACAACATACCCTCCATCTCATTTACTCAAACATCCCTGGTTGCAAGTTCGATGTGTTCAAATGCAATGTTTGTTATCTACATTGCAATGGGTTTGCGTATGGTTGCGTCCAATGCAAATACTATGTTGATGTTACCTGTGGGCTTATACCTAAAGAAATCACACACAAAGCTCACCCCAATCACCTTATTTCAATAGTTAACGTGGATGATAGGGATGATCATATTTCTTGTTATATGTGTCGCCGACATCATACTCCACGTCAACTTTCATTCCGTTGTGACACGTGTGATATTTATATACATCCGGAATGTGCTTTGTTATTAGCCAAGACAGTCAGACACAAGTATGACAAGCATCCCATAAAGCTAAGTTACCTCCCGATTGAGAACCACAAGAGTGAATACTTTTGTGAAATTTGTGAGGAGGATCTGAATCCTCATCAATCTTTCTATCATTGTAAAGATTGTGTTCAATCGATACATACTGCTTGTGCTCCGTTAATACTTCAGAGCGAGACACATACCTATATCAATTATTGGAGAAGCGTTTATGAATTTGTGAATATAAAGTTTGGAGGCATTCAAAAAGGCCATCTCACATTTGCTCAAGGTCTTATGTCAGATGGTGAATGTGAAAATTGTGGTTGGGGAGTACAATATGAAATGGTCTTTAAAAGGTTCGACTATAAATTTGCAATTCATTACCGCTGTTATAACTAATTAAGTACTACTACTAAGGAAGTTTTTGGTTTCTCTTCCTCATGTTCTAAACCAAATTAAATAAATATGATTTGTAATTGTCATTACTCTTTCTTGTATTATATCCCCTTAATTTCATGTGTGTGATGATACAATAAAATAATTGAATTTAACGTGTCCCTGTTACTTTTGTCCATTCCCACTTCCCAGTAATTCAAAGATCTATGGTAATAGTGAAGCTATTAATCTTGTACTTGTGTTAACAAAACGTTATGACGATCACAGATGATATTTTACGAATAACTATATATCTTGTACTTGTGAGAAAATATTAGAAATCAGTACTTCTATGCACTTTTCAAAATTAGAAAGTATATATATATATATATATATATATATATATAATATATATATATATATATATATATATATATATATATATATATATATATATATATATATATATGGAAAAAGTAAATATACCCTTAAGGGTATATAAACTTAGGTACCCAAACCTACTATAATACAATGTTTTGTTTGATATATTCATTATAATGTTCTTAAACTTCAACCCCTAACTTTATTTACTTTCAACATTTCCAAAATTTCACCATTATCTTCCTCTTACATCACATATTTTTGTCAAACACTATTAAGCTATATATATTATAGTTAAAAGTGAAAAATATGTAAGAGGACAATAAATGTGAAATTTATAAAAAATTTCGAAGTAAATCAAGTTAGAAGTTGAATTCTAAAAACATTGAACAATTACAATGTATATATATGACACAAAACGACGTATTATAGTGAGTTTGAGTACGTAAGCTTATATACACTTAAGGGTATATTCACTTTTCCATATATATATATATATATATATATATATATATATATATATATATATATATATATATATATATATATATATATATATATATATATATATATATATATATATATATATATATGATATTATATTGTATTCTATTATTATCAAGCTAAGTGTCTTTAAGAATTTATGATTAGATTTTGATTTTTTGTATTAGATTTTTTATGTAATTGGTTTTTTATAAAATATGAAATTGTTTGCTAGAATTTACATTAAAAATTTTTGTATTTTTTTATATAGACATTTTCTTTAAATTTGTGATAAATTTTAGATTTTATTTTTTGATTTTTTTCATAATTAAATGACTTTAAGATTGCAAACAAACGTTATATTATGTATATAAGTAACCGACACAACTAGTTTTATTTAACGATAACATAAAAATTTCTTTTACAAAAATACAAACACAATAACTATAAATTTGTCCCAAAATTCCGAGGCCTTTTGAAATCAGAGGCCCCGTACGACCATACCGTCCGCACACCCAGGGCTACCACTGACATTGAGAGCAATTCGTCAAAAACATCATAATAACAAGAATTAAGAGTCTTGGCCGTTCACAATTGGTTGATTCAATTTAATGAAAATAACTAGTCATTTGTTGGTATGGATAATTCTAACGAGATTTGATTCCTTTACAAAGGGCTCGATTCTAACTGATTTTAGAGAACTCTATTCTAAAGATGTCGTCTATTGAGCTCTAAAAATAAAATAAAACTTAAAAATAATTTCAGTTATTTTTAGAAGATTTTTTTTAGAAATATTAGCTTTGTTGAAATTATATATTTAGAATTAAGATCGTAATAATCATTTCATTCCTTAACAAATTAAGAAAAAAATAAAGATTGTGCATTCTTTATGAATGTAAATCAACCCTTAATAATCATATTTTTAATGAAGAAAACAAAAAGAAAAATATGTCTAATTCTATTAACCACATTTCAAAAATAGTCAAAAATTAGTACAATCACCAAAATTGTTATCACTTTCGCAAATGGCATCTGATATGGCAACCAAAACTATTGTTTTGAAGAAAAAAATTATAGTTTAGATTACAACTAGGATTATAAGGTTGTGTGTTGCGGCGATAGTTTAAACAATATTTTTCGTTAAAAGTACATTGCTATAAATGTTCTTAAACCTATTAATGATCATTTAAATGAATTTTTGCAAATCTAATAGAAATACATTGCTACAAATGCCTTGATACTAATGTTTTACTTAATGGTAACTACTATTTTTACTCAAACATCCACTGGAAATTCTAGACGATTGTGTCTAAAGAATGCTATTTAATTTGTCTCATTAATATATACTAATCTAAGATAATAATAATAATAATAATTAATAATGGAGATTAATACCAAAAAGTAATACACAACATCAGTTGTAGATTTAAAGGACACGAAGAACTTAGTTTTGCTAATCGAAGGTAGCCCATGTACAGTTGCATTGCAGGTTATTGGGGTCGACTCCCAACAATCATGAAAAAACACCAACTACAAGAAAAAGAGTTATTAGCAGTGACAAAAATCGATTTGTCACCAGTAAAGGAAAAAGCGGTGACACGTCACCTACAATGTTTTGTCGCCAAGGTTGTAGAACTCGTTACTCGGTACCTGTTCGGCCGACTACCGAGTAGCGAGTACTCGGGAGTACTCGGGGAGTACTCGGATTTGGAAATTTGTGTAGAAATATTTTTAGGGAAATTATATATGTCAAAATCATAAGATAAAATCATAAGTTGATTAAATATATAACAAAATTGGATACAAGTGAATACATAAAAAATGAAAAACACATAATGGTCTCACTTCGTGAATAATTACTGAAAATTTAAGATATATATGTAATAATAATCACATGTGTGTGTGTCAAATAATAAATCATTAAGTATATTATACATATTAATCACCGAGTTGACCGAATTTCACAACACTACTCAGTTCGTAAGGGGCCGATCGGGGAGTACTCGGGATTATGTAACTCGCCTCGGCAAGGGGGGGAGTAGCGAGTACTCGGAGGAGTAATCGGCTAACTCGGCGAGTTTTACAACACTGTTTGTCGCTATTGCTCAAAATGTCGCCGTTAATAACCCTGTTGTCCCCGGTAATACCCTTTGTCGTCGATAATACATATGTTGTCAGTAATAGTGTATGTCATATCGTTGGTAATGTTATTTTTCATCTTTTTTTTATTATTTTTTTTAATCAATACTTTTCAGCAGTAGCGGGCCTTAGTGAAGCATTGGGAATCCTGGGCCATTATTTAATTTCCGGCACGTAGTGTAATTTTTTTATTCTATTAGGTGCACCGGCTTGAAGTACAAAGGAAACCCCTATTAAAAGAGTATGCGTCCGCCACTGCTTTTCAGGTGCAAAAAAATTGATACTTAATAACATTAAATGCAAAACAAATTACATAACGACATCAAATTAGATGCCAAAGTGTTATAATTCTATATACAAATACCAAAATAAACAACAAAAGTGTTATAATTCCAACAAGTACCAAAGTGTCACAACAAGTCTAACATACAACACACAAACTAATTATCCGATGAACCATCATCTTCATTTCCTCATTAATCATCACTTTGTGTTTTCCCCGATTGAAAAAAAAGCATAAAGTTTCTCCTTACACGCGATTCGTTAAGCATTGCACGAAGATTTTTCAACTACATAATAAACAACATATATAAATGTATAAGTTAATCTATCAAACATAAACAGAACTACCAAAGTACATTGCTATTTCTTGCACTTAAATACAATAAATACCAAAATTACATTGCTATTTTTTGCACTTGGGACATAAACACAATTACAAAATCCACATGCATTTATCGATGCCAAAGTACGTTGCTATTTTTAAACTAGTGACAAAAAACCAAAGTATATTGCTATATCTTGCACTTGGAACATAAACACAATTACAAATACAAATACCAAATTAACATGCATTTATTGCTCATTATATAGATATATAAGACTTTGAAATTAAATTATCTTGTTTTACAAGAAATGATAACTTACTTTCTGCTTATTTTATGGTAAAAAACCTTAAATACAAAAAATACCAAAGTACATTGCTATTTCTTGCACTTGGGACAAAACCACAACTATAACACCCAATTCCATGTAAACATTTCTTTACAATTTCGAATTATTTTAAGGGTTTAAACCGTGGTTACGACGTGGGTACATGTGTGTCACGACATGACTATATTCAAGGAAGCGTGCATTCCACTTATGTGTCACGAGGGTCACGACGTAACAGCTATTGCGAGCCAAAACCCTAATTTTGAGGATTGTCACATATTTAAGGGGAGTGAGAGCTAGGTTTAGCTCACCCTCAACCCTCATCACCTCCATACACCTTCCTTGAAACCCTAATCCACCATTTTTATTGTGAGCTCCATTTGGGTGTTTTCTAGCCAAGAAGAAGAAGAAGAGATAGAGTTTTGGTACATTAACTCTTCAACTATTGCAAAACAACCTCCAAGTTTTTCTTTTTCTGATCTTCAACAAAGGATTAGCTTCATAAGGTAAACAAAAGTTATGAATTCTCTTAACTTTCCGATTAATATTTACAAATTATATTTTGTGGATTTACGGTTGATTAACTCCAACCTTATCCTGACGAAAATATAATTTGGTATGCTTACAATTTTTATTTAGATCAAAATAACTATGTTATGCTACTAATAGTTATATTATTAATTCCTATTTTTATAGATGTTATTGGCTTTGTTGGCACACATGGTGCTATTACACCGATAATATCAATGACAAGCATATCATACACATTGAGCTAGAAAATTTTGAGTTTGAAAATTTTCATTATATTATTAATTACATGTTTTTTTTCTAGTTATTTATATGTTATATATTTTGCAGGGGTGTACACCTTAAGGTGACTTTGTGGGTGGTTCAGCCGACTGATTATCTTGACAACCATTAAGTGATACTCGTGTCATTGTAATTATGCAGTTTGCAAAGCTAAATGATTATAAAGGTTTGCCAATCTATATATCTAAATTAAATTTTCTAATAAACAACGATCAAATATTTTTATGTTATTTACAAGCATTGTCGGAGTTACAACCTACTTTGATGTGACGAAGATA